ATTAATGAATATACGTTTGAATACACCTATAATTCTTAGAATTGTTTGTGACGCGAACACGCCAGAGTCGATATCACTCGGAGCCATAATTTCACGAATATAGATAAATTACAATATATATGGTGTTTCAATATACAAAATACCCTAGGGTGTATTAGTAGAGAGGTTATCACTGCAATAAAATTCACTTACATTCTTCGCAGCAAATTTTATCGGCGACACAATTACCATGACCATATTCTCCGCACGGTGTGCCTTTACTTTCACACGGCACAGGAATACTTTTTTCCTCTTGACAGACGGCAGTTTCCTGTGTTCCAAAATAACATCCAAAATCACCGCAACAAATACTTGGCCCTATACAATGACCTGAGTTATTGGATCCGCACGATATGCACTGAAATGTAAACGTAAGCAAAGTTTAGTTATATGGCACTTCTTTTGTCCGTACATACATAGTAAACTGATTTCTTTGGGAAATGACCGTTTATCCTCCTAATATCTATGTATTTTTCAATAAAAACGTTCACGTACATCTTCTCCTCGAATTGGATTAAACGATTGGCTTTATTTCAATTGTACTGCTTTGAATTAATCACAGTTCGCACCAATATTATTTCTTTCCTCTATGGATATATATTTCCAGGATATGACGTACATATGCCTATTATTATATACACCATCTTTTCTCATCCAAACTGACTGTGTGTTTCTTAAGAGTCAGCGTCACTTGTTTGATAGTTAACCATGGTTTACCAACAGGCAATGTTCCCAGAGTAAGACTCGGATCGAAAATATGGGGAATGTTACGTATGGAGTACAATTTGTCCCATTTTCTAAACAAATACTCTTTGAAAGTATGTCTTTAGGTACATATCTCACACTAATGCATTGTGACATGCTTTCTCGTCGTTTATATTGCGTTGCCTGCTTGTAAATGCACTTATTTTATTTCACTACATTTTATCTGCATACCAAATATGTTTATTATTTAGAGACACATTTTGAAACACAGATATTATACCCACAATGCTATGCGTCATCTTGAGGGTTATTACTCTAGGAAGCCAATTACATACATGGCCAAGTGATAAATATATTATTTTCGATCGAAAGTTCAAGAAATACGAAGAAGCTCCGTTGATTTCCTTCCAAAACCTTTCTGCAATTTGTCACTGTTTTGCCACATTGCGAAAAGACATGTGATGTATTGCTGTTACAGGAGAGTAGCTCTCCGCAAACAATTCGAACTTACTACTGTTTATAATCGTGGTTTATGTGAATTATCTGTATCTCTATGCATGGTATACTGCATAAGTGATTATTGGCATAGACAAACGAAGAATATGTTGTTATTACACATGCGTGTATCTATTTATTCACGAAAACCCCGATTTTGGGAACCCTACTCAATGAACTCACTATAAATTAACCAACCAACCAACTAACGATTGTGTATTTCTTAAGGGGAGCATTTTTGTTAATTTTAACCTTTTCAATATTATATGTCATTACAAAAAGTAACAATAGATAAAAAAGACATGTGATGTGTTTTTCGTTGAAAGTGTGTTGCACATGCCGACATATATGTGCGAAAGGAATAATACATGAGTGATACATGATAAACTTAAAATATTCTACTTTTGGTTTTGTCCTAAACTTGTAATGGCATGTTATTGATGGGCTTCCATGTGGAGCCAAGTTAATTAAAGTGTCGATAATAAATCACGCACTATTTGTCATTCTTACTTACCATGTGTGTAAGCTTTTATTACCACCTTATTCTTGATATCACTGAAGGTGTTATGTGTTATTTCGGTAAATGCCGATGAAAATAATATTAACCTACTTATTGAATAGATCCATTCACTTACATGATAATGCACACATGTTAAAAACTGCTATTAGACAATAAGATGGCGGGGGTGCAGCCCAAATATGATATTAAATAATATCACTACAGATTACTAGAAGCTCTAACAAAATAAATAAGACGTCTGCAAAACTTGTGTTTTATAACATTTCTTCGAGCATTCATGAGTCCGAAAGGATTTCAAAAATGAATATTGAAGTTAATGAACAGACTACTGATATATATATATACTATAGTTTTTGAATTTTACTTTTGAAACAATTATCATCTTCATCAGGGGTTAACCGTAAATTAAACAACATACACAAATTTACTTGCAAATTCATTGTCAAATTTATTGAATAGTGATTATACTCATTTTGTGATAATAAAATGAATAATATCTGGTGAAGTGGAATAATCTGTTAAATTAGAATACTAATTTGGCAATATACGTAAAATAGTAAAAAGATATCGAAATCGGCATCACCAATAGTCGAACATCTCCGAGCGGATATGTATATTTGGCTGTTTCCAGCGATTTAGGGTGTCTTAAAATCACCGAAATTCGACGATCGACGACAAACTATTTTTTTTTAATAACAAAGCTTATTAAACAAAATTTTCATGTGAAGATTTGTTATTAAGATTAGTCATGCACGTAATATTCTTGAATTACTTCCTGTATAATCATTACCCCCCCCCTTGAATGAATATGATGACTAGTATACCCATTGGAGTACTGCATCTGAGTGAACAACGAACATTACGAACTTTCTAGGTTATTTGTGCTCAGGGTAGCAACTGAGCAAAATTCGAAACTGAAATGCATGCCGGAATCTAATGTAGTGAAGTAGATAAATAATAAACGGTGCAATTCGTTAGGTTTCGATCAGTAACAATTTTGATTGTTGGGCATTTGCACAAGATTTCGATTTTCAATTTAGTTTTGTCGTCAATACAGCTTTTATGGAAGTTCAATTGACTTTTGCCAAAATATAAGTTTCTCAACAGTTAACATATGTTCTTTTACCTGTCTCAGTGGATGTCCTGCCCCAGTGAGCGCCGAACCAGGGGATCGTTTTCCGCCTCGAGCACAGTCACTTATAAAACATGCTTCGCAGGTTGTAGTAGCACACACGAAGATAACTGCAATTGTCAGAACCTTCCACGACAATCTTTCCGGCGTTCCAAACATAATCAATCCCAGCTAAATCAAAAGAAAAAAAAAACTCGATGTTAAATACATTTTCTCAGTATCGAAAATTGAAACAAACGAGAGAAAAGTTACGCTAACATGAAATACGGAAACCAAGTGGTAATAAAACAAATTTTAACTGTAATAATACATTTGATGGTTATGTGTATATAGTAAAATGTATTAACGATGTATATATATGCTCATAACTTAGCACGTAATATTAAATGGAGTGAGTGCATCGATCATAATATAAAGCTTGCTGTTTCTCTACAATTATTAGTACTGTAGAATGTCGATTATCCGAAATGTTTGGTATCCGAGCCTACTCTGTGTCCCCTAAAGTTTGTATGCATGTCTGGCTGTGTTCCGTATTATACAAAATTCAACTGTGAACAATAAATATAACAGTCTTGTGTGATTTCAATAAAGCTATTATCAACATGTAATCCGACGTCTTTCACGTGTACGTTCATTGTTTACAATGTAACCACATTTCAATATTTCTTAGCTATTAAAATTAAAGAAGTAGCATTCTTTAAAATAATGAAATTCACAAAATAAAAATAAATCATATATAAAGGCGTTTGTATCAGTTGTATAAAAGTAGAAATAATAAAGATGCGAAATGGATATATAAAATGAACAGGATACCAAATTCGTGATCTTACAATTTCCGATTTATTTCCCTTTGTTCGTAGTCGTAGGTACATAATAAATTAAAATTTCTACAATCGTTTTATTTAAATCGATTGTCGCTTTGTTATTCATGATATACAAACTTTACAACAGAATAATGGAAAATGATATCCAGATCTCAAGGTATACTGCCGAAAACTTCATGTTTCAAAAAATATATTTCTCTACAAAATAGGTTTTTAATCTAAACAACATAATGTTACATTTAATTAAATTAAATTAAAGGGTCCATGTTTTACTTATTTCGCAAGCTTGAAATTGAAATAAACAAAATTATGCATAATACTATTAGCTTCAGCAAAGTCGAAATTGTTATAGGTGCAAATGCATGCATCGCATTCAGAATAGTTTCTACACGATAAACCATTGGCTTTGCATTAACGCTGACATATCTTGCGGCATGGAGTATCCTCTTGCATGTGATAAGGATGTGAACGTAAATCTTTCCAAGTGGCAAGTAGTTGTGTGTTCATTAATCGGAAGTTGTACGTGCTAGGTTGCACGCTAGCCAGGAGCATTCAGGTCAAATGGATTAAACGTGGTCTATCAACTACTATACTTTTTTTGACAATTGAATTTCACTAGTTTTTGAGTAAAAATATATATATATATATATATATATATATATATATATATATATATATATATATATATTACTATGCAATCTTGTTTTAATATCTTGTCAGTTGATACTATATGTACGATAAACCATGACAGATTCAGCGGTAAATTTAATAAAATATTACGTTTCTTTCAGTTTTTCAATTTAAATGCCGGCAAAAACCTCAGCTCTTTTTGGTTTAGCCGCCCCATCTATCTAAGAATCCTAAGATTAATTATTATTTAATTACACTTAAAAGAAACATTACCCCGGAGCATATTAGTCATCATATGCGCTCAACAGTAACGTACTCTTAATTGATGAGGCCAGTGTCTGTGCATCCCAGCTAGACACCGACATCTTGTCGCCAAAGATGTAAATTTGCATACATTGTCAGCCGGTAAGTGTCACATGACGCTGAGTTAAGATGAAAGTGGCAGATACTTTAGCAATCAACGCTGTCCCCTTTTTATTGCTCTTTATTTTTGTTTTCGTAGTCACAGCACTCACTTGTTGTACCTCAAATATGTGATGTAATCGTTGCTAAAAAGGTTCCGCTTATAAAGTAGTTCCACAAATTATGTATATTAACACTTGTACCGTATAAAGCATTTTGTTCAATTTACTTCCAGGGAATCTTTCTTGTAAAATAAAACAGTAAAATTGCCTAGCGTTGGATGATTTACAACAATCTTAAATCATTCTGTGTATATTAATTAGGTTTTGATATTGATGTCGTAGTTCAAAACTTACAACGCTTCGAATATCTCGAATGACATTAAACGGTCATATCCAAAACATTTGCAGTAATTAAGATGAATGTTTGGCATTCAAGTTGGGAATACCGCAGTTCCAACAATACTGGCATTGCTCTTAGTAAAATAGATAATAATATCTGAATCGCGCGCAAGTTAATCATTAACACCACACACTCTCCTTACATTGTTAATAATGTGCTAATTAAGTGAGCGGACACGGTTATTCACCTTAGAGTCCCGTGGAGCTGTTAGGGAAACCCAGTTGGTTGAAGTCTATGCTGGGGCTATTGTTGAAGTCAAGTCAGTTAAACAGTGCGGTCTTCGCATCGGCTAATTCATCATACCAATATTCAAATGTGCTATGTTCCTAAGGGTCTCGCTGTGATATGACTGAATTTTTACTACAATCACAGAATTTACAAAGACACGTCGACAGAAAACTGGCTGACAGAGAGTTATACTCGGGTAGACTCGAGATCGTTTGTGTCTCATAGTTTTATTACCTATTATTACATTACGCTTTTATCGACTTCTTATTTCCAGCAGGATTCTACGCTGTTCCAAGAGTGTCGAGTTTTAATTGAACATTTCTAATTTGGTTATTTTATTATTCAGAAAATTTTAAGGTTTAATATTATTTTTTCAAACTACTATTGTTACTAAGGTTTGTGGTTGTGATGTACATAACAGCCGGGATTACAACTCAGCTTAGTCAAATCCTCACTGTGACAATAAATACTCCGTTAAAGCTATCGTTTTTACTCATTTGCATATCCACGCAATACAATGTTGGAAAACTACTAAATCAACATATCCATATCCCAAGCTTCTTATCCAAGAAAATCGCTTGATGGTATGATCTGTAATCAAAATGGCCCAACTTCATTTTGGTTATCAAAAAATACATCAACATTACTTTGTGTAAATAGCAAAAGCATCATACAAATTAGTTTAGTTTCCTTCCTATCAATGAAATAAAGACGTTACAAAAACGAACGTACTAATTTTTGATTTAGAGAGTTAGAACAGTGGTTGGTATCACTGGTAGATGGTTCATTGAAAACAATTGGTTTATTAGAGATTAATATATTCATAGATGAATAAATAGGGAATGACATACCCAACCGTATATTTTTACATTTATGCCATGGAAGAAATGTTACCAAATCCAGAACACAATACAAATGACTGACTACAAAAACAAAACATCACATTACATAGTCAAATCAATAGGAGAAGGACATAAAGAATCCATAATATACATAATGTGATATCGAAATGAGTGAGCATGTCCAGAGGCATAGTCAAATGTTTTTTGTATGGAAATTATCAGACAAGAATCATTGATGCCATCTGAGATCATATTTGTAACAATCATATTTAACCACAGGCTCATTTATCTGCCACAAAACCTTTTTAACTTTTAGTTAAGATTAGTCGTTCTCTAAAAAACTTTGTAGTTTTGACGAGCTAAGACAATAAAGAAAAAATATGCATATATACCACAGACTCTAACATAGGGAATGAGCTATGAAGTGGAATATTGCTGGTGATAAAAGAATTAAAATCATCTTTGTCATATAGTTTAGTACAAAAGCTGGTCCTTACAGCTAAATCAAAGGCACTTATCTAACCATGATAGAATACATTCACTAAATCGATCAAAAGTACATCATCAATATAGCTGACTGTGAAATGAAAGGATTTGTCCTTTAAACTAATTCAGTGCCATGTGAATAAAGAGATAACTCGGCTTTGACGGAAGCTCGATTCTACAAAGATGTTGTCAATACGAAATCCTGCTGGTGATGACATTTTCAGACGTTTTGTACCGTTTTTTTCTTTCCTTCGGAAGTATGTAGAACCATAATCCACTACTACAGGTTTGCAACTAGAGCCATTTTAATTACCAAATGCTTCTTGGATAATGTTCTTAATTCGTAACTTTAACTTATCATGTGGAATAATCTGTATAATATGACGTAACATGGCAACTTTGACCCGTTTATATAGTTCCAATTACATTCGTGTAATTGTTGAATAATATACACCCACTATCTGCTGAATTTTAGAATGAATGTACAAATTTTGAATGTGATTAATACCTACTCGGCATGGCATAGAAAGGTTCGTCAAGCACTCATTCACCATCTGCCGCGGACAATATGGCAGATAATCTGTTTCGCGATGCGGTTTTAGTCTGACGGAAAACATAACGGTTATAGCACAGACAACGGTCACCATAACCAAAAAAGGAATTGCCCTCCGTGAAACTAAAAGCAATAACCCCGTTTTTTAGATACATGACAATGTACGTCACAGTACCTAATTAAAATAGATACAACATTAAAAGAATCCCGCGAATGACGCAAAGTAAATACCAGAGTGCTACAATGTTTTATCAAATCAAATTACAGTGATCAGCGATGTTAACCCCAATCAAAGGCTTATTCCGGGCTTCAATAGATATAAGTTAATCAAGTAACAATTATGACGCTAACAACTACGCCAATCTTTTTATGTATAAGCAGTATGATGTCATACTTATGCGTTGCGTAAAACATCACTTAATAAATAAAGTCAAGTCATGCATGTGATATAGTTTATAATCTAACGTCGGAAATAATTACCGTCGTGTTAACAATCCAATATGGTGGTCAAAGCATATCTGTGAAAAGCCCTTGCTGAATGAACGCGTGTTCGCATAATATGCGCTCACATGGTGTAACAATCATTGAAATTCTCATTCATACTGGCTTTTGACTGGTTGTTCGTAAAATATGACAACACATATTGTTTGTAGACAATAGATCGTCATTGTTATCAAAAATGATATTTCGTTTTTGTCAAAATTGAGCTACATCGTTATCTATGTAATCTGCCTGTCAAACATCGGTTTGGTAGAAGTACTTGTACTTATGTTGTTGGTATAATAAACAAAAAGCGCTACCGAAATGTAGGTGAAAATTAGGCAAGATAATACATTTCTCAAGTTGCATATAAGTATGGCTTCAAAGATAGATGTGTATACATAGTAACATAAAGGTATATTACTCGATATAATCCGTTGAAAATCTAATATAGTACCCGATGGATGGTAACTTAGACTTAAATTCGTTAAGACAGTGATTTGGAGCATAACTAAACACCTACTGTAACCGTTCACTATCACAAAAAGAAAATTAGAACAAAATCTCATAATAAGCATTTAATTGCAGTTTTATAGGATGTCCCACTACTGTAAAATATGTTTTGTATAGTAGTCACAGTTACGTATTTCACTGTATGTCAATCTTTCGAAAACCATTTAGTCTTTGTCTTTTGCAATATCGTTTTAAATATTTTTTATCAGTAATCCGTGTTGATGTACGATGATATATCTATATATTTCAATTGTGAAATGAGAGTTATTTTCGCCGCGCCGTGTATCGCTGATCTTATATGACAATACAATGACTACCGAAATGACTATGATAATTTTGTTCAAAATTCTTTTTCGCTTAAAAAGAGAATATGTTATCATTGTCATGCCATATGCTTGGTTTTGTTTTCGAGAACAAGAGATATCTTTAGACAGTCATCTAAAAAAATTGCGAACCTAGAATCATGCAAATATATGAAATCCTACTCCGTGAATGAACACGGCGCAATTTAATGTCCGCTTGTAACGTCTTCCGGATTTAAATGATGAGATATTTAACTGTGTATTGATTGTATGTGGTCTGCGAAAAAAGATAGCTCTCCGCGGAAGCCCATTTTAAGAGTAATATTGCCACAGTAGGTGTTCCCGTATCTACGATGAGTTTCAAACAAAACCATTCTTCAATGCTCAACAACTTCCGACGGCGAAACGCGCTAGTATAACCGCTACTTCACGAATCTAACCTGATTTAAAACGCGGTGCCATAAACGCTCACCGGCACTGATCGAAATACAATTGTTTTCTCCATATTTCTAACCACCTAAAACAAAACCCACTAAAACATATTGAACATATACAATATATACAATATATATATATATATATACATATATACTATTACATAAATATATACAGTGTTCGGGAGAAATAAATCAAATTATCTGCTGCGAGTATAAATCGCTGGCCGATATCAAATTACGACGACCAAGTTGACGATAGCGTAAAATAGACTCACCTGACGGGAATTGCTACAGAAACCAAAACAAACAGCTGCGAAAATTAAGTGCGCCTGTAAGAGTCGGTAGGATGAAATGATGAATAAATTCTTCTCGGGTATCACTGTACGTATCACTATATACTGTTGCACTGACACAGCGTCAGCTGGGAATATTTATATAGTACGAAGCTCGAGTGCCTGGCGGGCATTCTAAACTGGCCAGCCCATCACGACGTAGGAGCGGTTAATCATGCACGTTTAACATGGGTGACACCAGTTAAACAGGGAAACCAACAGAGTTAACTTCATTGATGGTGTCAATCATTGACAAGTCAACAATCCCCCGTGATAAATCGATTGGCCGGAAAGACGACGTCATCGTTGCATTCTATATCCACGCATATTTCCACCTTCTTTTAAAGCGCATGATCAGTTTTAAGACACTCAATGGGGGGGGGGGTCGCAACAAAAGATTGACCGTTAATTTACTAGTCCTTTGAGTAGATATAAGCTTTTAACGCCATTTTACCTTTTGATGATATACATGGACGTAGATAATACACAGGAGGAAGGTCTACTGTAATTCGTTTGAACATATATTAAGAATTAAGGGAAAAAACGCATCATAAAATATAATGTACTATTTTTTTAAACGTGTGTTATTATTTCATACATCAACAAAAGATCGCAGTTTGTTACAATTGTTGCATAACAAAATCATTCATGAATATATATATTATATTATATTCGGAAATCAGCAGAAACTGTGAGGAGGAATGCAAATGTATGTTTTATTTTGTTTGTTCTTTTTATTCACAAAACTTGTCTACCAGTGAGTTGTTTGGTTTCAATAATTGACGGAATGACGAATTCGCTGTCATTTTCTATACTTTGAAGTTACGTTTGTTGTTGGAGTGCGCTTGAAAAGACGTTAAGGAAATACATGTAGTACCTAGTACGTCATAACACAGGTCGAAATATTTTACTGTATGTAATGGTCTTGGCGCACAGCGTGGCATAAGCGATGCAGTCACGTGGTAGTAACGATAATATGTTTTCCGTTTTAATCGTGTTATACGTATATATACTTATTTTGTAAATAAAACTAAATTGTTCTATTCAAATCATGTTTCAAATTATAATCGAGCGTTCATGCATCGTCTCCAAGGTTTGGTGAGTCACAAACAAGTGTTCTGACATGTACTTAAATAATGTGTATAGAATAATGTTCAATCTTAACGGATTTAGTGCAAATCAAGCCATTTATATATGATATCTAGTTATTGCTTTCTTATCGTCATTTAATTACACAGGGAAAGGCAATCGTCTACGATTATATGACCACAATATCTGACAACGAATTCTTTAAAGCACGCTTTACGTCTTTAAAACAACTCATATCAACATTCCTATGCCCACGCCGAACGCTGATTCGACATTTAAACAGAACATGCTTACATTGAGTGAGACTTCTCATTCGTACATCCAACTTTCGTTTGTCTAATAGGTACAGCTACTGTATGTCGGCTGAAAAACATATAACCTTTTTCTCGACAAAGTCGACCGAATGAAAAAGAACTAGAACTGACATGACGTCCTCTCTACGGCAACCAGTAATTACGAAATAAATGTCAAACTTGGCGTAAACGAAGAAATAGTACGATCCAAGTCGGTGATGTACACTCGCCTGGGAATCAATCTACGTAGACAGGTTGTTGGCGGCTCCAATCGTTGCTCTTGTCTATGTTTAAGACCCCGTGTGCAAATCGCAGTACAAGCTGCTACTACATTTTATTTCGCATCTGAAAAGATCTCCGCAACAGTTGCTTTCTTTGGGAGTGTGTTAGAATTTTGACATTTTGATTAATATATTGAAATTTCCTCTATTTTAGGGAATTTGAATCCCCGTATTCCATTTTGCGTCAGTCAGTTGCTAGTCTTTATTTTATGAGGCAACAACATTGATTACAAGAAACGCAGAATCACCTACAATTGGACTGTCAAAATGTTAAAATTATTACAATTTACCTTCAATTTTGAAACTATTACATCCGCAAAAACAAAAAAAAAGTATTTATATGCTGCCACTAACACAATTACTACAATATTGATATTTTCAAAGGAACAGCCTTGGAACAAGAGTGATAATTAATTGTTGTCGATGGATGGATGGAAGGGTTATTTTTGGTAGTTTATCCGTGACCGTCGTAGTTTGTTCCTATTATCACAGTATGATTAACTCGTTATATTAACATGATTTCTTGTAATTCCTTGGGGGCTCTATAGCCCCGTGTCGTTAACTACAGTTCTGATACGAATGAAAACTAAGTAGATACAACCAGTTCACAATAGGTTATTGACTTATCAATATTTTGACACATTCTAGACACATTTTAAAAACAAATTTCACGTGACGTTTTTTTTTATTACATTTGCATTCAAGTGTTTCCAACAATGCGTCGCATTCTAACTTTGTATGTATATTTGATTCTCCCACGAGTCTGCATTCCACTTACAGTTTAAAGACTATTCATCTACAATGATGTATTCGTGTATAATAATAAAAAAAATATGAACAATAATGACATAATTAAATAAACCCGACATGATGGCATTTACGCGCCACGAAAATTTGTAATACATTTTATGTTTTCCATGCCTCGAATCACATTGAACAATGCAATGGCCGCTGACAAGTGCACAGAAATACGAGATAATTTTATTGTCAGAGGCGCAGCATGTCGACAATTTCCTGTAGCGGCATGCGTTCTTTGTCCATCGGTCAGTGGGGAGTACCGCGTTTGCGTCAGCGTCTACGTCGCCTACAGTTCTGCCTTTCATACAAAATCTCCCCCATGCGTATATTTAGCGACGATTTGGATGATGCTATACTATACCTAGTAGACCGTGAATATACCATCTCGAACATATTTCTGTCTATTATACATGTATTACTGCGAAACATATCTATCTTTAATATAAATACAAATATAAATACAAATAAAATAAAATATGATCAAGTTGGTTAACAGAATACATTGAATATGACAACAAAATCGTTTCGTATGTGTTTGAAAAGATGTATCCAGAACGTGCTGTATGTACAGTCTGTGGAATATCATTTAAATACATTGCTATTATTGCGGTACCTGTATTTTTGTAGTAGTAGCGATTGGGAATATGTATTGCATGTGGAGATTTCTGTGATTGTGCAAGTTTAGTTTATCGAGTTTCATATTTCGCATTCGAAATTACATGCGCCTGTAAGAACACGCACGCGGTTAAAATAACCTGCCTGCGTTTCGAAATCCTATGAATAAACATTTTCAACATAATCAAGTGATTATACCCACCGAAGCAATTACATATATGACTTTTGGAAAATAAAACGATAAGGGACTGACTCTTAATGAAACGTTGTGAACCTTACAAGACAGGTGAAACAGATGTTCAGTTTATAAATTGAATTAATGTTATAATCGGATAGTATATGCTAATATATCAATATCTAAGGTTCTTATTATTATTTATGTACATACCAACTATCTTAACTCAATGTTTAAATATTATTGTAGTTTGTTGAATTCGAACGGGGATAACAGAACAACAGTCAAATAAAACGTTGATTAGAGTAACAAAAAGGCTAACCAGCTTGGTAAATCAAAAAGTATATTAGCACGCTATCTAAAGATTCGATTTCAAATGTTGAAATACAGTATTAGTGAATGTCCACTTAATGTCAGCGATTTGCATTTTAACAGCTTATGCATGAGCGCTAAATATAACGACTAGAAACAAAAATCGACAATGACATTTCGACATATTCCGTCTTTGTTTATGTTATCACCGTGCGAGGTTATTTTACTATTATAATAAACGATCTACTTTACAATATACATTCAATTAATAGAAACATTGTTTCACAACGTCCACAGAATTAACATTCACACACCTTCATCGTATCTTCGTTTGGCTGTATCATGTTTCAAACTATACACCATCCGTTCACACTACTTAATGTATGTGATTCAGAAATAGCCTGACCAACCGCGGGGTTCCTTGTGAGTCACTGGAAGTCACATCATTTGTTAAGAGTTTACGTGACTTATAGCAAGTACACATGATAGTACGTTTACATCGGGCTACAGCGATATACATGGTCGGAAATGAACATGAACATATAGCGACTATAAATAGTGTGTACAACACGAAATGTATTAGTAATGTATTTAAGGAGTATATTCCAAACCGCTTATCCAGTGCAACACTTATCCAGACACTCCAGACACGCATTCAACTGAAAGTTAACTAGTTTAATAGGTGTGTTGGTATAAAGTTAATCTAATTCGACTAGTAATTTTCTCCAAATTTGTATTCTGCAGAATGCTTAAATTTAATAAATAGTATCCATACAATCAGATCTGAAAAAGCTTAAATTCAAAAATTTAAAAACTGTTTATTCTTCAGTGCCGTACACACATCCTTATAAGCTAAGGTATTATAAAATGCTACATTAGAACACTTACCTTACAAATTTAATTGTATTTTTGTTAAACTATTTTATTGCTCAAGTTTATTCAACAAAGTTGTGCAACCAAAAATATACACGTACACAATACATCCTAGACTTTTAACTACAATAAAATAACTGCGAACCGTCTTCCGTTTTCCTCTGACGTCACTAATCGATTATTTTCGATATCTATTTCAGTCGTGTATACTATCAATAACTAAGAAGGTGTTTCGAATCGTTCTCATTATTTACATCAATATATATTACAATATGCATGTACGTTTTGGGGGATGGCACACTCATTCCACATTTTAAAATCTTAATCATATATTTGCAACAGTTATATAATGTATAACCCCCAGCCTTCCGTCGATAGAAAAATGTTATGAAACTGAGGCACGTACTTTGATGCAACATGGGTTTTGATCCTCTTTTTTTACAATGACGTGTTGAGGCAGACGATTGACAGCAACGCTCATGGAGACTATTATGGCGATCTATATACATATAAATTATAGTTATTATAATATCGCACATATACTAAACACCCTGGTTTCGAGTGCTTTTTGCCATTTTGTGATAAAATATCGGAAGTTTGGCGCTATATTAGGGACATTGAA